GTTTTAACTACGTACCTCATGAATTTTAAAAAATTTAAAGTTAAAGTTAAGATATCCCCTGTCAATTTTGTCTTTCTAACCAAGGAAAGAAAAGTAAAATATATCCCATCCCATATCAAATGGAACGTAATAAAGCAAAACTGGGAATAAACGTCCATGAATAAACCTTCCCTGTACTGTACAAAATTAATTAGATTGAGTGAGAGACATAACTAAGAGCCATGAAATTCCACTACCTTCATATTATATATATATCAATTATTCCAACCCAAGAAGTCTGGTTGCAATTAGTACAATGAGAAAGAAGATGAATGGCCCACTTGGGATGTGCTTGCTGATCTTGTGTACTTTTTTGGTGATGAAGAAGAAGATGACATGTTTGACCTTCTCCTAAGCATCTGCCTCATCCCATCTGCCACTCTAACTGCAGGGTTGGATTTGAATTTACCACAAAATGACATGTGTGCCCTCACAGCTTCCTCCATGCCAAATGGCTGATTGCTGCCTTTGCCAACCTCATCCCTTACTGCTTCTGAGCACAACCCACACAGCCATTTCCCATCAAATTTTTGCCTTCACTTGTGTGATGTAGTCTTGTGTGCAATCTTCTTTTAGTCCACAGCACTCACACCTAACCATCTCAATCTCCATTTGTTTTTTTTTTCTTCCTCTTTTTGTTTTCTGCTCTGATGAATTGTGAAGGGATTGAAGAGAAAAGTGAGATATTTTTATTTGTTGGATTGGATTGCAATGATGGGGTAGAAAGTGGAGTTTCTTTGCATTTGTTTTCTCTCTTGAGACGCGGTGATTGTGTTGCTCACTTGGTTGCTTCAGAAAAAACTGAGAAGTGTTTGATGTATGAGAGCTTTTATGGTTGGGATTTTCTCTGTCTATTGGTTATTAGGAATTTAGGAGATGAAAGAGACAGCGAGGGGGAGAGAGAGAGAGAGAGAGAGAGAGCTCTTATAAGGCCACTAGGCCAGGGTAGGGAAAACTGCCATAATTTCCTCCATGTTCTAAGGGACATGGGCCAGTGGGAAACGAGACAAGAGTGGTCGGAGGGGTGAAGGATCCCTTTCCACCTAATCTATTAGTTTGGGATTTGAACCGTTAAAATTTAAATCAACAGAAAAAGTTTATTATCACTTTAAAGGGTTCTCTATTTGTGACCTTTGAATTAAATTTTAACAATCCGAATCCCGAACTAGATGAATTAGGTGGAAAGGGATTATGAGAGGATCCCTTTCCCTCAAGGCTGGCCCTATCTATCATATTCAAATACTTATTTCTTAAGGAAAACTAATGAAAATGATTTGAAAACTTTAAATTTTAATGATAAGGAAAAAATAAAGGGTAAAGTGAATAGTATCAGGATTGACTTTTTAGTGTAAAAATGTGATTTTTCGTTAAAGTGAACAGTACCGGAATGTTTTCGTCAAAGTTCCATATTTCTTATCCCCCATTACACTTGCCTTCATGACTAAGTGGCTTAACCCCAATTATGCCGTGGACACCCTCGAATGGGGAGACTTTGACATAATCAAAGATTAAGTACTTAACCACAAGACAACGACGATGCCTCAGGTCTAAGGATTACTTACATCTTTCCAACCATTAGAGTTACTTGCTTGACATGTGAGTAGACCTCCATGCAAGTACTCCCGTTCGATTGTGTTCAGTGAACTCATTCCCTTAATGAGCACCTACATACTTGTCTTAGTGTCACAACACGAATGGGTTGAGACTTTCCATCCTTCCAATTGAAGCGGACACAGCATGTACTGGTCTAAGCATTGTCAGTATCCCTCCGACAATCCAATGACCAGGAACCTTTTGGACATAATGGTTATGTAAAGAAGGTCTCTGTAGTCTAACATCATTAGATCACTTCTTCAATCGATCCATTGTCCATGGATTCACTATTCAGGACATATATCGTTTATTGAGATAGTCCTAATTAGTATCTTCGCCATTTGATGTATAAGAATCATCCATACATCGATTCATTTGTCCTGAAAGATTTCTTCCAAAGATTGACTTTCAGGGCATATTTCCAACAAGGGGAGCCGGCGACCGAAGCCCCGGTGAACGGCGATCGTAACTATAACGCTCCTAAGGTAGTGAAATTCCTTATCGGGTATGTTCTGACCCACATGAAAGGCGTAACGATCTGGGCACTATCTCAGAGAGAGGCTCGGTGAAATAGACATGTTTGTGAAGATGTGGATTACCTGCACCTGGACAGAAAGACCTTATGAAGCTTCACTGTTCCCTGGGATTAGCTTTGGGCCTTTCCTGCACAACTTAGGTGGAAGGCGAAGAAGGCCCCCTTCCCCTCTCCCGCGGGGGGGGGGGGGGGGCGGCCAAAGCCATCAGTGAGATACCACTCTAGAAGAGCTAGAATTCTAACCTTGTATCAGAACCTACGGGCTAAAAGACAGTCTTAGGTAGACAATTTTTATGGGGCATAGGCCTCCCAAAAGGTAATGGAGGCGTGCAAAGGTTTCCTCGAGCCAGAGGGAGGCCTTCGACTACAAAGGCAGAAGAGAGCTTGACTGCAAGACCCACCTGTCAAACAGGGACGAAAGTCGGCCTTAGTGATCTGATGGTGTCGAATGGAAGGGCCATCTCTCAACAGATAAAAGTTACTCTAGGGATAACAAGTTGATCTTCCCCAAGAGCTCACGTCGACGAGAAGTTTTGGCACCCTAATGTTGGTTCTTCGCCACCTGGGGCTGTAGTAAATGGTCTCTCAACTTTAACTCAATTGAAGCGATGGTAGCTAAACTTTATTTCCAAGACCATTGGTTCCTTAACTAGTTAAAATGTGCAGCTATGGACCTTTTCGTTCACTCTGTCAATGTTTTAGTTAAATTCATTCATGTACCTGACACATGAGACTAATTGTAAGGGCAAATAAGGAAACAAAATTTTGCAGGGTTGAAGTTAATTGAACTCAGTAAATGAGGCTAAAGGTTACGAAGGAAAACATCCGCAATTGAAACTTCCTCCATGCCCATTTGAAACTCTTTCTATCCCTATTTGAAACTTCCTCCATGTCCAATCCTCTGTCTTCTCTCTTGTTACTGCCGCAACCCTCTCTCTTTGTCCTTTATATTTTTCAGTTACTTGGCCTATAACATGTTATCAGTATGCTCTTGCCTAAAGCTGAGGAAACTAACACTAAGGAGCTGAAGTTTCGTGGGAGTTCTTCTACAAATTCAAAGGCTCAATTGTTTTTTCCCAATTAGGTTCTCCTAAAATCCATGTTAGATATTTTTAACGATCATGAAACATGAAAACATTCCCCATGATGCATAAACCCCATACACTTATATTTACCTTACTATATATATTGTATATGTTCATATATTTGTCAATATATATATATATATATATATATATGTTCATGCATAACACAAATTATAAATTTGCTATGTGGAATTTGTGAGTCAAAGAATCGAATATATATATTCATGCATAACACAATTATAAATTTGCTTAAATTTTGCTATGTGGAATTTATGAGTCAAAGAATCGAATATATATATTCATGCATAACGCAATTATAAATTTGCTATGTGGACTTTGTGAGTCGAAGAATCGAAAGAAAACTTAAGCAATTAGGGCTTTACCAAAACTTAAATATTTCCAAAAACAAAATAAAATTAGGGTTATGCTACTGAGCCACGACTACGAGCCGCATTGGCTGGCCTGCAACCAAGCTGTGTTGTGCAGTGCCCTGGCGACGTCGTTTAATGTCTGGACTAGCAGCAGTAGCCCTCTGGGCTTACTGCACATGAAGACAATCAGGCTTCTAGCATGGGTTTGGTTTTAGTGGGGCCTACAGCCCCAACCAGCCTCTAGCAAGCTTGCAGCTTTTCTGGGCCTTATCTCCTGCACCCGACCCACTTCTAGCAAGCCTGATGCTTGATGGGCTCATCTCCGAGTCAGGACCCACCTCCAACAGCCTTATTGTGCTACTTGTCTTCGCCCTTCACCTCGACCCGCGCTGCTCTGTTGCTGTTGGGCCGCTGTACAGCCCTTGTCCTAAAAGCCCAAAAGCATGCAGTTTTGCTACACGGACGTGCCAACTGCAGCCAATAATCACATGCTGGGCCGCGTCCATTTTTCAATCTAATTCCATATTTTGGCGTCCCCCGCTTCTTAACCATACCCAATTTTTTTTGTGATATTTTTTATTAGAGCCGTACTAGGCTATATTTTCGTTTATTGCATAGCCCGATGCCTACCATGGCTTATATGACCTAAACGTCATTATTTTACTTCCACGATCAAATCTAAAATATACGATCTATTGAATTAATTAAAGTCGCCAACAGTTCATTAATTCAACCAAAATCCAAAAATTTTGGCCTCAAGTTCACTTTTTAGCATCAACTATTCAATACTTTATTTATAAGATATAATTTTGTGAACGGGACTAGAAATAGTCACCCTATTCCACAATTTCCACTTGCAATAAGTTATAGGAGTTGGAATAGTTGTATGTATCAAATACAAGTCAACCCTATTCCATATTTTCCGCGTGCAATAAGTTATAGGAGTTGGATTAGCTGTATGTTTCAAAGACTATGGTAAGTCTTTAATTCAGCTTATTGGACAGTCTGACTTTATATTCATTAGATTGGTAAAGTAAATAAATATAATATTTCTTCATTAAAATCATGACCGTTCATTATCGTACTACAGAGAGTTACTCTATAATCGTTGAAGAGTTTATAATTCAAAGTTACATGATAATGATAATGTTGTATTAATTTCAGAGAAATTGAAGGAGCTCCAGCAACATCTTCTTCATCAGAGCCTCAGAAGGTACGTAGTGAGAACAAGTCAATGAATTCCACCGTGTTATAGTTTTACAGCCACTGCTGATCATTTTATTCTATAATTCAAAGGCAAAGAAACTAGTTAATTACTATAACAAGTTTTCTTCCCTTTGATTTGTAGCTGCAGTGAACTCATCTTCTAGCTGCCCCATGGCAAATACAGGAAGAAATCATACTGCCGTTACAGTTACCACTACGGAATATAATCGCATGACGACGTTGAAGCAAAGAATCGAAGAAACGAAATGGCTACTGCATCCGTTAGCAGGTAAGAGCTCTTGTTGCATCTTCAAAGTACCTCATTGCCTGGCGAAAACAAACGAGGGGAAGTACCGGCCTCATATCATCTCAATCGGCCCTTATCACTACGGTGATAAACACGTGGTGATGATGCAACAACACAAATGGAGATTTCTTGACAATCTTCTCGGTCGAACGCAGTTGATCGGACTTGATGACTACCGGCAGGTTGTAGCAGAAATCGAAGATGATATAAGAGAGTGCTATGCAGAGACCATTAACTTATGCAGCCGCCATCTGGTTGAGATGATGGTACCAGACGGTCTCTTCATCATCGAAATGTTCTGCAAAGTAAAATTATTATCGAGATCTTGTTCTATTGGAGAATCAAGTTCCTTTCTTCGTTCTTCAAAAGTAGTTTGAAAAATCGAATTCTTTAACTGCGCAGTAGGGAGGCCTCCTCAAGTCTTGAGGCATTATTTCAGTGTGTCGAAGGAAAGCATCTACTCGATTTACTTCACCTGAGTTTTGTCCCCGAACCTCAGGATGATTCGCCTCAGGAGGACGTTGAGTTTATCCAATCGGCAAAAAAGCTTCACGATCTCGCCGGAATTATGTTCAAAACACGGGAGGCGCAGAGCTTCCTAGACATCAGATTTTGCAATGGAGTTCTTGAAATTCCGCACATAAAACTAGATGATCTCCACACCCATTTCTTCTTAAACTTGGTTGCATTTGAACAACGCTACTCTCATTGCCCAAAGTATATAAACACTTACGCTGCATTCATGAGTTGTCTCGTCCGCACGCCGATGGACGCGACATTTCTGTCCGATTAAAACATTATCGAGAATTATCTCGGAACCGACAAAGAGGTCGTGCATTTCTTCAAAAACCTCCGCAAAGATGTGCCTTTCGATATCGACAGTATTTATCTGAACAAGTTGTTCAACGAAGTGAACGAGTACCAAAGAAATATTTTGCACGTGCAGTGGGCGGATTTCAGATTCAAGTATTTTGAGTCCCCATGGTCCTTCCTCTCTGCTTTAGCTGCTCTGATCCTCCTAATACTCACCACAATTCAGGCCTTCTTTGCCGTCCACGGATATCTGCGTCCGCCAAGTTCGGGCTGACGGAGGTGAGCATTAAGTCTAAAGATCGTCTCAAACCGGCGGATCTTTTTCTTCTCACTTTTTGTCATTGATATTTTGCTTGTAAATCAAAAAATACAGAATACAGTTGAACTTTATGATCTCAATACATTTCTGTTGCTAGGTAAATATCTTGGCCACATACAACCTAACGTTTTGTTTTCGACGAGTATACAAATTCTATGCTAGTTCGACGTAACTGAACAGCTGGTATAATTTATGAACAGTTGTATAAAATTTATACACCCGTACTAACATATATACAATTGGTTTTAGAGTTTTCGGCACAAATGTTCAGTGCAGTGAACCGCCAAATCAGGTTTGGGGGCTGACCTGAAGAATCTGATGCGAGCCTTTTTCTGATTGTTGCTACTCCTTTCCACTCTCACTTGAGCACGTTTGGCACCAAGATGAACTTGATACAGTTTAGCAGAAAATCCAGTCTTTAATGACATTATGACGGCAACAAACCGGCGACTGAAAAAAGAGAAAGTAAAGATTGGTTAGTTACAATTTGACAATGAATACATAAACCACAAGAGCACAACCGATAAACAACAGCATAGGAGGCACACAAATAAATACGTGTTTTGGTTGTCTGAACCTTACTTTTCTGTGGCCAACACCTGCACCAGAACCATAACAAAGAGAGTTCATGACTGCACCGAGAGTACCGGAGCTAATCTGCAGTGAAAATTACAGACATATCCTGCCGGGGAAAAAAAAAAAAAAAAAAAAAGAAAAAAGAGAAACTCAGCAGGAAAGAAATCAATAACTGAAAGAGGGCAAAATGTGCATATGGGAGGAAACTGCATAAGTAAAGGCCCGCTTCATAACCATTTCAGTTTTTAGTTTTCAGTTTACAAGAAAATTGAAATCAAAAACTGAAAATGAAATGGTTGTCAAATGGCTCCCAAGTAAAACAGAGAGGAGCTCCAATACAAAATCAGAAAGTCCAGTAAACTTACATGGTCGCCCATACAGAATGAACTCCAATTTAATCATGCTTAAAGCCATAATTAGGGGTTGCAGTTTTCAACCAACAAGTTAAAACGCCAGGGGATGGGATTAGCAGGGTAAGGAGTCATAACCGAAGGCACCTACTATTTCGCAACCTCCCCTACTCTATATTAACACAGGACCACGATAAGATGGAAATTGTTAGTTTCCCACCAACCCATTCACAATAAAAAAATACCAACAAACAATTAAAAATTAGTAAAAGGAAATGTTAAAATTTTAAGATACCTTAAGAAGCATACAACTTTGCATACAGTAAGCAGTGCTACGATAGATCAATACTTGGGATGATTTTCCAGAGAAGTCTATATGGGGGCCTTGAGCACGCATCATCACCACCGTCATTGGGAAGAGAAGCCAACTCATTCTCCAAAATAGAGTGAGCTTCTGAAAATGCCTACAACATCCAATGATAATCTCGAAAGTAAGAAACAAGCATCTGTACACATATGCAGCTAGCAATAGATAAGCATCACATTATCACACAAGGTAATATTGAATATGTCAGAAAATATCATGACAATTAATCCCAAAAAAACACAGCTTACCTTGATACACTGATGTATACGGAAGCAATTACGCCCCACATTATTAGTTGGAAAAAGGGGATCATCAATGTGTATCGGGTCAATACTACATGGAGCAGATCAATATATAAGCAATGCAAAAAAGTTAAGAATTTCTCTTCAAGCACAAATAAGAAAACAGAGTACTGCTATTACCTACAACCTCTTTCCCTCTTAATATAAACACCACTTCCCTGTACCGATATACGCATTTGGCGAGGATCAAACACATTCCTAGAAGGAAGAGAGAGATGAAGCGTCAATCGCTATGTAGCTTAAACCATATTATAACAAACTATACAATTATTCAATCAGAGTAAACTCAATTCCAATCCAAGAAGTAGTTGCACTGGTATATAATTAGAGAGAGAGAATCATTATCAGTGGTTGTCTTACCCAAAAAAGTAGAGAAAATTCATCAGAAGGCTCCCAAAATTCTGCAAGATCATTACTGGTTTAGTAATAAAGCAATCTAGCAATAATCATCAGCAAAAATGAGAAACTAAAAAGCGCAACAAGTACGAGTTTGAATGAGAACTTTGAACTTAGACCAGCGGCCAGCCACATGAAATTTGAATATTTTTACAAAATTAGGAACGATACCTCCATTTCTAACTAGTAACTAATTGTTTGGAATGGTTTACTCAAAATATATGGAAGTTGGGACCCTCAATCAACCATTCAGAAGTTCAATACTAATAACTTAGTGAGTTGAATATTCAACATATCAAGCAGAAAATCAAAATATATTTTTATGACTGATAGAAAAAAGAAACCATAAATTACGGATGTCACACATAATTTGGTGCAAGTATATAGTACCTAAAGGTCCTCCACGATACTTTGTATAATACATTATCAAGGGAAAATAAAACATACTAACATACAAAATTAGAGTTGAAATTAGAAATTTACTTGGTTGATGGGCCGGCCAAGATGATACTCATGCTGAAGAAAACGTGTAATAAGTAATACCTGAAAAAGAGTAAAAAAATACACCAAAAATAATTAACTGTCACAGATGCTCTACAGAATTCATTGCATTTTTCTTTTAAACAAGAGATGTTTAAGAATAAAGCCAGATACTCAACCAAAATAAGCAAAAAATAAAATATATTTTTACGCAAGATCACTGGCAACAGAACTCAATAGCCCAGAGGAGCAAATACAACACCGTCCTACAACAGCCAATAACAGCAATTCACAGTATGTTCCATGTTCCAAGTTAGTTGAGTTATGCTAAAATTTACCCTTTGATATGAAAAAATCAAGAAAAATGAGAAGCCAATACATGTAATATGTCGAGTACTTGTGTCATGTTCGTGCTCCCTAAAATTGAGTATCAACATATCATCATCTTTTAATTCCCTAATTGACCTTAAAACTTCAATTTCTATAATGTTTATAGTGTATTATAATTTAGACCCTGATCTGGCAGCTGCTAGTTTAAAGCATTAATCTTTTAATACCTTTAAAAGGACAATCATTGCGAGAACAAAATGTTCTATGCGTTAGTCCAAAAGTTCTACAGCATGCCATCACCTTTGATACCCATTGTCCTTACTGGAAGACGGTGAAATCAAAAACTTCAAATCAATTTAATTTACTGACGTTGCACCTTGAAATAAGTAGCATTACGCACCAAACAGTAGGAACTCAAGCCACCAGAGTAAGACTGATCCAGGCTACGATCTGCCAAGAACTGTTTCAGTACCAAAGCAAGGGGTGTAGCAGCTGGAAACTGCTCAGTGAGATCCTTGACCTGCAAATGACTAGTTATGGTTCATAACATATAAATAAAGTATATACGTAAGCTATAAATGTCACCAAAAGCACATCAAAATTTGCAAGTACCAAATACGCAACAAAATATGCACAAGGAACTAGCTAACTGCTTCAAGAAACAAAAGAAAGGATACCTGAGATCCAAAAGGACTGTGCAAGAATGGATGCTAAAAGACCCCAATCACAATGGTTGAAGAAACATAATTTGATACACCAGCATACAAATTTGGTTTGACTTTTTTATACAATCCACTACCACAAGCTTTCACACAGTAGTAGCAATTTGCAAGTAACCACCCCACAATTATGTACCACCAAACACATGGGCATAATATAGATGTTACAATCTAATGAATTTTTATTAACACTTGGGATTTCAACTGAATCTTCTCTCCAACAAGCCTTGACGTTCCAATCACAGATGTCTTTGCAAGTGAAATATTGTGCATTTGGGTGATACACCTTGAAATCTTTTAGACTAACTTATTAAATATAAACGTCTAACATCGATAATGACAGTCCCAAAACCTATGTAAAAAAAATTCGTTTAAACTTAAACCAATATTCGTAGACCAAGGGTGGAAGATTGAGTACCTTAGTCATTAAAAGTTAAAGATTGGAAGGTTTAAGTAGATAAAGCTATATTTCACACACACAAAATGCATTCATCTTGCACCCGCACACACAAAAGATTGAGGGAGAGGTATATACCAGTTGTGTAGTTTGGAGTCCTGTATGAGATGGAGATTTGAAACTGATGTCAATACGAACTGATACTGAATCCTTTGTAGCATCGTCATTTATCTGTGAGCATTTGGGCACCACAGATTCTTCTAAAACAACCACACTCGAGTTCACATTAGTGCCATGCTCACCAGACATGGGAGGTGGCTCTTCTTTTGGAGATTGTACATTGGAAGCAGATGAGACAATGAGATCATGGGGAACTTCCACCACAAGCATTATAACAGGTATCTAAAAGCAAGGATTAAACAGTAAGAAAAACCATGAAAGTAAAAGAAGCTTAAATGAAACAGAAGTACAATCAAAAGATTAAAATGAAGAGGACGTACAGCTGTATTTTCCACAGTCTTAAGAGAATCATTTTTGACCCAATCCTGATTGACGAGATACCTAGCGGCATGCTGAAACACCAAAACAAGACTGTCACAGAGCAGGCAACAGAAAAGAACAATCTTAGATATCAGCGGAAAGGATGAAGGGGTGCTACATATCAGTTGGCACTACAAAAACTTAACGAGAAACAAATCAGTTGACCAGAAATGTTTATTTGATGAGCAGCATATTGAAGTTTTATTATCAGGGTCATGTTATGCGAAATAATCAGATAAAAAGTTCAGAAACAATCAGGATCCGAAACTCAAAATGTTCCAATAGGAACAGAATGATAAGTGTTCCAAAGTTTATGCAGCCTTAATGAATGTGCACACTAAGCTTAGAACACCATAAACAACTTGCATAGAAAACACGAATGCAGAACAGTGACAAGCTAGTGTAGAACAGTTCCCTTCATTTATTGAAAAAAAAAAAAAAATTTCTGTACACAGATTTCTAGTAGAAAAGATGAATCAAACGAACTGCCTTTCTATAATAGACTAATTTGCAATGTACCTGAAGGCAT